CCTTGGGCTCCCCACCCTCCTGCTCCAAGCGTTCCTGTCGCCTGCGATCCTTTTGACGCTGCAATGATAATGACGACGATGTATTATTTGAAAATTCTATGTTTTTTTTAATTTTTAAAATTTCTATTTTATTTTTGAGAGAGAGAGAGACAGAGCATGAGCAGGGAAGGGGCAGAGAGAGAGGGAGACACAGAATCCGAAGCAGGCTCCAGGCTCTGAGCTGTCAGCACAGAGCTGGATGCGGGGCTTGAACTCATGAACCGTGAGATCATGACCTGAGCTGAAGTCAGAGGCTTAACCCACTGAGCCACCCAGGTGCCCCTGAACCTTCTATGTAAATACACACACACACACACACACACACACGCACGCACGCACGCGCACGCACGCACGCACGCGCGCACGCAATTTGTATCTTGAAACCAATTCTTCACGTGTACAAGAGGTTATATGACATGTACTGGGTTAAGAGCTTTGCATACACTCTCATCTAATGGCTACAACTCCAGGAGGTAGGTTTTGTGTCATCCTCATTTTACAAGTGAGCAAGCAGACACGAGAGTCACCAGGCAGAGGTCTCACAGTAAGAAAGAGGCAGATTCCAACCCAGCCGGTACAGTGTGACTCCAGAACCACCACATCATAGGGCTTCCACGAGACCTTCCACCTCTGGGCTCTGAGCTCCTTGGCCCCCCTCTGGCAAGAGGGTCTACTACAGACCACCTTGGGTTCTTTCCTGTTCTCACAAAGCTTCCCTCTTTCCCTCTTCCAAATCCCTCCAGGTTCCCACTCCTTCTGCCTTCCAGCCACCTTCTTCTTGAGTCGTTTCTTCTCTGCTTTCTGTTTCAGGCGCTCCTCCTCAGCCACCAGCTCCTCAGCCAGGTGGTTGGCTTCCTGGAGAAGGAAAGGCAGGTGACGGGAAAAGAGAAAGAGAACAAGAAAACCAAAGGGAGGCCAGCAGTATGGAAGGAGCTTGAAAGGTCCAGATTAGGGGAAAATACATATATGGGAATATGGCAGTTGGAGGAGCCCTGGGGGAGGTGAAGCCCCTTGTTGACCGTCTCACCTCTTCAGTCAGCAGGAGCTTCTGGGGCATGGCCACCTCAAGTAGGCTGTCTGAGCCACCGGAGGCAGATGCAGAGGCAGAGGGGCTATGAGGGCAGGGCTCACAGGGCTCAAACCCTTGGGGAGGATACAGAAAGGACTTTCGGAGACCACAGTAAGTGCCCAGTCCCTCGGCCCCTTTGTCTCTGTCACTCTGTCCAGAGGTTTTAGCCTCATCACAGAAATGGTCCAGGAGGTAATCTGTCAGGAGGGATAAGGAAAAGGGAAAGAAAAAGGAACATGAGAGAGAGGAGTATCTGAGGGCCAGCCCTCCCCAGGGTACCAGCCTTGATCCCTGGGCCCGGCCCCTGCACGCCCCACCATGGTGCCACAGCTGCAGCCGCCTGCTGCTCCCATCCACATGGATCCGGTGCAGGCCCTGGGGATCACTCTCCACAAGCCGTCGAAGAAAATCCACTATGTCCTGGGAGGGGGAGGGGAGGGAGGCTGGTATTGGGGGGAGCTCTAGGAGAGAACGAGGGGCTTGGCTGGATTGACCCCTCCACCATGGCCACCACAAACCAGCCACCCAGCCTGGAGAACCTTATTGGCTGACCTCTCCCCACTCAGCACCTTAAGACACACTGCTCTGGTTTTCCTGGTATCACTACTCTCCTGCTTCCCAAGGGTTCTGTGAGGCCTTTCAGTCCAGCCTTCTCCATCATACAAGATCTCCTCCCCTTGACCTGCCACCACATCAGCCACACTGAGGCCCCAGAAACGGAACCCTCCTACCTGCTCTTCCAGCCATGTCCCTTGTCAAATCCCTGAATATGAGCAACCCCATATAACCTACTCGGGAGCTACCGCATGCCTGAATGAGAGCAGCAGTTCCTGGCTGGCCTCTCCCCTGCACTTCATTTGCTTCCCCTCAAACCAAGCTCTCAGCAGTTACTTCCCTACTCAGCAACTAACTTCCAGTAATTCCCCACTGTCAAGGCCATAGGCAGGACTGAGTCTAGCTCCTCAGCCTGAGATTCGGAGCCTTCTGCAACACTCCCTGGCTGACCTTCCCAATCTTCTCTGTAATTCTCCACTGCTTGGCTGCTTTCATCCCTCTGCTATCAGATCCCTTCCAGGATCTTCCTCCCAACTGTCCCCCGATCCTGGCTGTGAGCTTCTCATCACATCTTGTCTCACCTTCAAGGCCCAGTTCAAATTCCATCTGCCCTCAAAACCTTCCCAGACCTCTTCATCTCCAATAATCTCTGCCTTCACTCAACGAAGCTATACTCACATGCTCTGTGTTATACAATTTAGAACCTTATTATTCACTGCTTTTTATTGCTCTCTCAATTGGCAAGAAGCATGGAACTGGAAAGAACACTGTCATGAAATGAAACTGCTTGCATCTTAGTTCTGGCTCTGCACTGCCCGGTTGTTTGATTGTGAACAAGTCATATAACCTCTCTGAACCTTGGCTTCATCATTCACAAGATGAGAGAAGACTCTTCAAGACCTGGTCCGTTATGTTCTGGGGTTCTTGTGAGAATCATTTCCCCAGTTACTGTAAGCTTTAGGGGAGAACAGGAGTCATCTTGTTCCTGTGTGGCCTAATCAGGCCTAAACAGAGCACACCCCTGACTAGGTGGTGGCCCACTGACTGAGAAACTTAGAAGTTACGTGAAACTCCAATGTGCTAAACTAATGCATAGGAAGGACTCCAGATCACTGAGGTATAGTCAACTTTCTAAGCAGTTTTAGAGCCAGGGTTTCCATCAGAAGATTGTCCTGACTTCACAGCATCTTCATTTATGCTGCTGTGCACTTTTAGCAATACTTATTTTATTTTCAAACTCAATTGCCTGGTGGGTTTGTTTCAACTTCTAACTGGCCCACTCTAGCCATCTTTAAAAACAAAAAATGATTACCTTGATCTTCTATTTCTCCCCAAAGCACAGTCTATGCTACTCTCTTAATTCACATTGCTGAACACAATCTAGCAACTCAGTCCTCCATGAATCATCTCCTACCTTCTTGTCCTACCTCAACCTACAGTGGCCAGTGGTCTCCTCTGAAGTTCCTACAACACACCAAGTGTGCTCTCATCTCAGGCTTTTGTACTTGTTACTTCCTCTCCCTGGAATGCTCTTTCCCCAGTGAATGGCTCACCCCTTCAGATCTCTTCTTAAACCTTTTCCAGGAGGCCTTCTCTGACCACTTCCTTTAAAAAGAGAAGCTCTCAACTCCACTCAGCACCCCCTGTCCTTCTTGCTTTATTTTTCTTGGCACTTTTCATATTTGGCATACTATATTGTTTATTTGTTGATTGGTTGCCTCCACTAGATGCTTCTAATTCATTGAAAAAAAGGAATTTTGTCTGTTTGGTTTACTGCTGTCTTTCCAGTGCCTACAACAGTGCCTGGTATACAGCTGGTGTTCAATATGTGTGCTGAATGAGCAAAGCAGAGAGACTGGTGAGGAGACTATTCTAATAGAGATGCAGTCAGAAGCTGGGTCTGAAGAACCTTTGTGGCCCAGTGAGTTTGGACTTCGTCTTGTCAGTGATGGGAGTGGAGTGCTCAAGTGAAACAGCACTGGAGAAGATGAGTCTAGGGGTGGAATGTTTAGTTAGCAGGCCATAGGCCATAGAGAATGAGTTCTTGAACTAAGGCCATGGCAGTGGGAGCAGGAATGGAAACGATGCGCTTGAGTCAAGAGACACTTCCAAAGTGGATTTTAGTGATTTCATGTGTGAGGTAAAGGAAAGGGAGGATTATGTACAATGATTCTCAGATTTATGCTGTAAGCAACTGGATGTCAGTTCGTGTTGCTAACCAAAATTAAGATTAGAGGAAAAGGAACCAATTTGCAAAGATGATGAGTTAACTTCTAGACTTGTTGAGTTTGAGGTTTTGGAGAGCCCCAGGAAGCAACTGGAGACACAGATTCTCAGGGCTCCTAAATCTGATCCTGTCCTTCCCTCAATAACCCTATCACCTACTTGAGGACACCCAAGCCCCTGTGCCAGACAAAGCCTTTCAAGCCTCTCTCTTCCTTCTTTCCCACTGCATTTCTTACGGTTCCAACCAAACCACTCAAGTCCCACTTCGGTGAGGTCCTCTAAACTTTTCCTTGCCTCGGCGTCTTTGCTCACACTCCTCCCTCCGTTCGTAATATCTTATCCTAAGGAACTACCACCCACTTCCCAAATCCTCAACTCAGAAACCGTTGTCAACTCAATCCCGCCCACGTCCAGCACTTATCTAGGCAGCGTGGTTCCCGGGGCCCCACGCCCTCCATTTGTCACGCGCTCCTCCAGGCTCCACGGAGCCCTCAGAGCCCAGGGCATCGCCCGGCATAGACGGGGCTCAGCACAGCTGGTTGGAAAGAGGCGTGACCAAGATAAACCCGACGAGGAAGAGCTAGGAGTCCCTTTTACCTCTGCGCCGTAGTCTTCAGGACCGAATTCCTTGCAGAGTTTGGGGACAGCAGCGACCTCCAGCGGACAGCCAGACCGCAGAGGACAGTCTATGGTAAAGGAAAGCAACGGCGCGTCACGGTGTTCAGGTTGGATGGGCCGGAGCCCTACGCCCACCGCGTGAAGCCCAAGACCCTACTGAAAACAGACCCAAGTGGGGCTGCCCTACCCTCCTGGACCCTCTCCTGTCTTGTCACACCTGCTTACCTAGCTTTATCCGCCCCACAGCCTTCGGAATCGGCGCCATCTCTCAACAACAGTAACCCGAAAGTGAAAGGTGATCTGGTACTTGATATCCGCCGAAGGGCGGAGTAGGACAGAGTAAACTGCCATCTTTGTTACGGGCAGAAGCCTCCGATTACGGAGCGCGAGAGAGTCCAAGACGGTCCCGGCGGCTCCCGGGCGAGAAATGACGGCGCCTGGGACAGGGCGGAGTCCCGGCGGCAGCGGGCGTTGGGCTGTGCGGGGAAGTGGGACTCGTCAGGTTCGTTCCGGACTCGGCGTCCCATGGCCCAGGGGTCTCGCTCCGGTGGCTTTCTGCCTCCGCTCGCCACCGTGCCGCCGTTTTGGTCACAACCAGAAGGCGCTGTGGAAGAGCAGTGGGAGAGAAGGCAGGAGGGCGCTCTCGGCGGGGACTTTCGTGGCTGGCCGCGGCTGCCGGTTGCCGGGAGCATTCCCTGCCTGAACCCACGGCCCGGCGGAGCTCGGGGAGCGCAGCCGTGGTGGGCTGCGCCGGCGCCAGCAGACGCAGGAGAGCACCGCGAGGCGGGCGCTGCAGACTGGTGGCAGGAGCCGGCAGCCGGCCGCCCCATTCCTCCCGCGCTGCAGCGTCTCCGGGCCGTGTTGCTGCGGCTGCATCGTGAGCGGGAGCAGCTCCTTCAAGCCCGGGACTGCGCCTGCCACCTGCAGACGGCCGTGCGCCTCCTGAGGATCCTGAGTCCCAGCGCGACGGCCCTTGGCCCCGGCTCCTTGCCTCAGCTGTGCCGCGACCTGCTGCTGCCTTCCCGTGGGGCTGCCCTGCGAAGCGGCCTACGGGAGACTCCGGAGCCGCTACTCCTGGCGCGTCCCGTTGGACTGGCCGCTCAGCGCCTGGATGCTGCCATCGAGATGCAGCTTCGGGCTCTGGGTCGGGAGCCTGCCAGCCCGGGCTTGTCGTCCCAACTTGCTGACGTGCTCTTGGCACTTCCCGCCTACCACCAGCTGATGGGAAAAGCCTTGAGCCAAATTCCGGGGGCAGCGCGCCCTTTCCCACCCCTCCGTGTGCTCCACCTCCTGACGGGGGAGCGGGGTTGCCAGGTGGCTGGTCAGCTAGATGAGGCTCTCAGGGGGTCGGGCTTGCGGGACCACCTCCGAAGTCGGTGCCAGGAGGAGCGGGAGCTGCTGCCCGGGCTGCTGGGGCTGCTGGGGGGTGTGAGTGATTCAGCCAGCAGTGGACTGGGGCTTGGAGGGGCTGGAGCCCTGTGGAGCCAGTACTGGACCCTGCTATGGGCAGCTTGTGCTCAGAGTCTGCACCTAAGTCTAGGACCCTGGAGGGACCACAGGGCAGCCGCACAACAACTGAGTCAGGCACTGGGTCAGGGTGAGTGATGGGCCTGGGTGGGCATTTAGGAAGACTGGGGTCTCTTTCTTCTCCCTAGCCTCCTCACTCCCCTGCCAACCAGACTCCAAAAGCAGTCCCTTTAGAATGAACACCCCCACCCCACCCCTCCTCCCCACCAGTCAGGCAATAGTATCTGGGCTTTCAAGGCAAAGTCTCATCTTCCACTCAAGTCTTGAGGCTTGGTGGAAGCCTCCCCTCTTCCCCCATCACTGAGTGGGCAGTGGTTCTGGAAAAGGGAAGCCTTCTTTTCAGGCTCCAAGTCATTTCTCCCACTAGCATCCCTGCCTCAGGAGTGTGAGAAGGAGCTGGCTTCTTTGTGTCGCAACCTATTTCATCAGTCCCTTATCTGGAATTGGGACCAAGGTGAGAAGGAAGGGGCATTGGGAGTGACACAGCCCCAGATTGCCCCTTCCTTATCAGACCATACCCCTCATCCTCAGGCTTCTGCCAGGCCTTGGGATCTGCTGGTGGAGATCAGAGCAGCCGTCCCTCATCCTCTCATACCACTGAACTTTTGCAACAGCTTTTCCCTCCTCTCTTGGATGCCCTTCAACAACCCAGGTCAGGGCTGCTCCTCTGTCAGCCTCCAGGTGAGACAAAGTACTGGGGATGGAGGAACAGAACAGTTGAAGGTATCCTCTTTATTCTTTCACTCTGTTCTGAAGCCTGCCTCCTCCCAGAGGGGTTCTATGACCCCTCAGATGTTCCATCCTCCTCTCCCCAGATCCTGCACCCCTTGCTTTAGGGCTCTGTACCCTGCAGACCACCTTGCTCTGGTTTTTGGGTAGAACTCAGCAGCATCTGGCAGCATGGGCCCCAGATTCTTTCCTGCTTCTGATCCAGAAGGACTTACCTGTGAGTAGCTGGGGAGTGGGCAGGAGAGGAGCCTGGGCTGGGCTGAAATCTCACTTCCCATTTCTGCCAAAGCCTCTATTGCATGAGGCGGCAGCTCTGTCTAGACTGGCCTCAGAAGAAAGTTTGTCCCTGGAGGTGGAGCAGCAGCTGGGCCTGGAGATCCAGAAGCTAACTGCACAGATCCAGGTGAGAAGAGCAGGGGCGCTGGCAGTGGCAGTTTAAGAGTCTGTTCTATGCCCAGCTTTGGGGTTAGGATGATGGTGGTGGTGATGGTTGTGGGACATCCCAGGGATTTGGAATCTCTAGAGTCTCTGCTGAATTTATCTTTTCTTACTCTGTTCATTTTTTGTTCTCTTTTTCTTTACCTTGTTACTATGGAAAACTTCAAACATATACAAAAATAGAGAGAAGCGTATAATGGACCCCCATATTCCTACCACTGAGGCTTTAACAGCTATCAACTCCTGGTCAATTCTGTTTCATCTGTATGTCAGGCTCTCATAACAGCCACTAATGATTACTGCCTAGATCCATTATTTCATTAAAGGGTGCAAAGTGGTGATATCCCAAGTCTATCATTTCTTCTTCATTTATCAGTTGAATTATTCCTATAAAGTGAAATTTGCCTTCATTAATTATTTGGTTACTCTGAAGTACATTTGATAGAGAAAAAGCCAGATAAATGATTGAACCTATCCTTCTATTTACTAGCTTTGATATGATGTTTCTCTTTTATAAATATATAACTTATGTTTTTTTATTAAAGTAATACATGTCCATAGTTTAAAAAGTGAAACAGAATAGTGGTGCCTCTCGGTGGCTAAGTTGGTTGGAGCATCTGACTCTTGACTTCGGATCAGGTCATGATCTCAAGAGCGTGGACCCTGCTTGAGATTCTCTCTCTCCCTTTGCTCCTCTCCCCACCTTGCGTGTGCACGCGCTCTCTCTCTCAAAATTAAAAGAAGTAAAAATTTAAAAAGGTGAAATAGAATATTATTTTAGAAGGGCTTTAATGAAAAAACAATAGCACTTTAACTACCCCCACCCCACCTCTGATTCCTGTTCCATAGTGGTGACCTTCATCTACTCTTGTTTGTCTTCTAGTAGTTTATTTTATTCTAAACTTATAAATAAAATTATTATACTTCTTTTTAATTTTTCCCCATTTTGCACAGTATCTGTTCCTACTATGGAGGATGTTTCTCCGTCTTTTTGTTTTCTCTCCCTGCCCAAGTTTCTCCTCTGCTCTGAATTATTCTGCCCTGAATAGGGGCGTGGCTACAGAGTTCAGGCTTTGTCCCTCTGCTCCTCTTCTCTCTGCATTCCTTTTATTTATTTATTTTTTAAATGTTTATTTACTCTTGGGAGAGAAAGTGCAACAGAGCATGAGCAGGGGAGGAGCAGAGAGAGAGGGAGACACAGAAGCTGAAGCAAGCTCCAGGCTCTGAGCTGTCAGCACAAAGCCCAGTATGGGGCTGGAACTCATGAGCTCTGAGATCATGACTTGAGCTGAAATCAGATGCTTAACTGCCCCTCTCTCTGCATTCCTGTTTGCCCACAGTGCCTTGGTGCTGTGCTTCACTCCCCCCTGCCTCAACGGTTTAGCCCTACTCTACCATCTACATCTGCCTGTTCCACCTCAATTTATTGCTGCCTCCTTCAACTCAACCTACCCCAGAGCAGGCTCCTCATGAGGAAGTTGGGACAGTGATAGCCATGGGAACTAGCATGTAATTACATGTAATTACAGAAGCTCCATACAGGGTCTATGTCTCGAGCTGGTGGCTAGACAGCCTCAGAGGAGCGGCAGGGGTTACTGGAGGTGGGGGTGGGCAGTACATAGTTCCTTGGGGAAGTAGTGGGAAGGTGGCCTGACCAAAGCACAAGCTCCCTTTGTGTGTGCATGTGTGTGCATGTGCGTGTATGCATGCATTCAGGCATATACACACTTGTCCAGAGATGGATGGGGGACTGTGGAAGAGAAAGCAGGTTGGCATCAAATTGTGGAGGGCATTGGACACCAGCCCACAGAATTTGGGCTTTGTCTCATGAATGATGGAGAGCCATGGGAAGAGCAGGAGGGGAACAGTGGAGACGGTGATAGAGTCTGATCCAGCTATACTGGTCAGGTTGGGAGATGAGGAGACATAAAAAAAAGGGTCCAGCTCTTGGTGGTGGTGAGAACAGGGACAGTGTGCTTACTGTGTGAACTAACCATTGTGCAAAGGACTCTGCATGCCTTGTTCGTGTGCCTGGTGATTGCACTGTTGGGTGTCTGCTCTGGGCATTCCACTGCATATGGCACTGGGATGGAAAAGAAGAATCAGACATTGTGAGTTTTCTCCCCACCCAGACTGTAATGTCCCAGACAGAAAGACTATTTCATAGTGTGACCTTGTGTTTCCTCGGAGTGTTGGGTACAGAGAGATTCCTAACAAATGGCAGTTGACAATAGGGTAGTTTCCTTGGTATAAATAAGGAGTAAGGTGTTTTGGTTTTCAGGAGAAGAGAGCAAGAATTTGGATTTAGGGGGGCGCCTGGGCGGCTTAGTCAGTTAAACATCAGATTCTGTGTCTCCCTGCTTCAGATTCTGTGTCTCCCTCTCTGTCTGCCCCTTCCCCACTCGCACTCTGTCTCTATCTCTCTCAAAAATAAATAAACATTAAAAAAAAATTGGATTTAGGATAGGCTATTGTCAGGATATATACCAGAAGCCACATGGGCTCCACTTCCCCCAATCCAGCCCCCAGGTCCCTTCCTCTCTTCAGGCTTACAAGCATCCAGTTACCTTTTCTTTACAGAGCTGTCACCACATACCCCATTTCTTGGGGTTCCTCTCCCAACGGGCTGTAGGGACCTCTCTCTCTCTCTCTTTTTTTTTTTTTTTTTTTAGTTTATTTTCTTTGAGAGAGAGAGAGAGAGCAAGCAGAGCAGGGGCAGAGAGAGGGAGAGAGAAAATCCCAAGAGAAAATCCCAGGCTGTCAGCACGGAGCCTGACTCAGGGCTCAAACTCAAGAACAGTGAGATCATGACCTGTGCTGAAACCAAGAGTCGGATGCTTAACTGACTGAGCTGCCCAGGTGCCCCAAGAACCCCCCTCCCTTTTTTTCTTTTTTTTTTTTCCTTTTTTTTTTTTCTGCCCTCTCCCATTACAAAAACATAACCTATCAAAACACAGAAACCAAACCAGCCCATGGGCCTTTTTTGCTTTATGGGTTACAAAAGTAATGGAAGTAGGTGTAAAAAATATTCAGTTTAAGGACATTCCAAAAGGTCCTGATTCTCAGAAAGTTACAGTGCTTGCTCCTGGTCTGCATATAGTTCCTGCCTTCCTTTCATAGATGGTGGAAGATCATACAATTCCCCCTTTCTTTCTTCAGCCTCTGCCTGTCCGTAGATCTGCAGACCACTCTCTCTAGCATTTGCTTTTAAACATTGGTAGTGGTGAGGGTATCTCCCCCTTTTTTCCTATTAATGTTCCTATAGAGTAAAATTAACCTGGAGGACTTCCAGACTCTGAACCAAGCTGAGAAGAGCAGGGTAATCCTATGACAATTGTCTATCATCTTTTCTGGGTCCAGGCCTTTAGGAAAACCCAATAAAGCTAGGACATCTTTCCTCAGAATTCTGTTCTGGGGCTTTATGAAAGCCAGGTTAAAAACCTGAGATTCAAAAAAGCATCATAATTTGGCAGTTCTCCAACAGAGAAGCCCCTTTTACTTTCTCCATATCTACACAGCTCCTGCCTGAAGAGTCATTAAGTCTCTTTTTTCAAGAATGTCATAAACAAGCCACACAGGGCTTCGAACTCTACATGCCACAGGGCCGGTACTGGCGGCATCGTCTCTCTCCTGGTAACTCCTCTTCCCAGCATCCCCTTCCAGGGTTCCCAGGGGTAACAGTGTCCTGACTCCTCCAGATCCTGGCTCCACTACTCTGTCTCCATCCTTGTCCTTGCCTCCCATGTCCCCACAAATCCTAACCATCTTCCCCTAAACGTTCCCTTAGGAGCTCAACAGATCTCCATAGCCTCATATGCTGTCCTTTTTCTTCTCTCATTCCAGAACTGCCCAGCATTCCCAGTGAGTATGCTGGGTTGGTGGTTCGCACTGTACTGGAGCCTGTGCTGCAAGGATTGCAGGGATTGCCGCCCCAAGCCCAGGCCCCTGCCCTTGGCCAAGCACTGACAGCCATCCTGGGTGCCTGGCTTGACCACATCCTCAGGCACGGGATCCGGTTCAGGTGGGGAGAAAAGGAGGCAGTGGCAGAGGGCTGGATGGAACTGGAAAAAGCGAGGGGGTATAGGTGGGGCGGAGCAGTTAGAGAGGCAGTAGAGGCAGGTGGCCACATTGTACCTTGGCCTTCAGCCTGCAGGGGGCGCTGCAGCTCAGACAAGACTTTGGAGTGGTCCGGCAGTTGCTGGAGGAGGAGCAGTGGGGCCTGTCGCCAGAACTTCGACAGTCTCTGCTCACACTCAACATCTTCCAGAGGCTGGATGGGGCCCTGCTGTGTCTATTCCAGCAGCCCCTGCCCAAGCCTGAAGTCCACAGGAGGCCTCCCTGTTGCTGTGAGTCACTGTTCTCCAACTCCAGGCTCTCCTTGACCTGCCCTTGCTACTTCATGTGCTCCATCCCCCATCCACATCACTGACCTCATATAGTTGTCAAGAGTGGTGGTACCCCTCCTCCTGCCCACTGCCTGTCTTCCATTCCTGCCTTACTAGGTATATGCAATGAGGTCCAGACCATGGAATTGCCCAGCAGCAGCCTCAACAGCTTGGAGAACTTGGAGCCCCCTCTTCGGCCTGGAGCACCCCCAGCCCAGACAGCTCAGCTGCTAAGCACACTATGGGCAGGGGGACCTAGCCCAGAGGCTTACCTGGTGGGAAATCAGCAGGCCTGGCTTGCCCTGAGGCAGCACCAGCGCCCCCGTTGGCACTTGCCTTTTCTTTCATGCCTGGGGACCAGTCCCGAATCCTAAGGAACCTGGGATGCCGAGGCAAAAATTCAGAGCTCCCCATCTCTGGCTGGAAAAGCTCAGCCATTTAGAAGTGCATGTTAAAGAAGCCTACATTGTGAGCCTGAAAGAAAGGATACCTGAGAACCACAAGCTACAAAGAACCTGGACTTAGAAGCTAAGAATCCAAGATCACTCCAGTGCCTGGAGTCCAGAGTAAAGGGCCAAACCACCACAGCCTGGAACCTGGAGGTCAGCATCCTTGGGAGGCTCAGGCCTAGTTCCCCAACAGTGAAGACATCTCAGGGCTAGGCCCTAGAAGAAGGGCTATGGAGTTGGGTCCCTGGGGAAAGGGAAAGAGAAAAAGTGATAGAAAGCAGAAAGCCTAGATGCCACTTCCTCTTAAGTCCCAGGAGCCAGGCTAAACACACAATTCATCAGGAACCACAGAGGTGGAATAGGCATTTCTACATTTGGATCAGTCCCAAGGGTTGTATTACCCTATACTCCCTGTGTTGTTACTATTCAAAAAAAAAAATTTTTTTTTAATGTTTATTCAGTTTTGAGAACCAGAGAGCAAGCAGGGGTGGGGCAGAAAGAGAGGGAGACACAGAATCGGAAGCAGGCTCCAGGCTCCGAGCTGTCAGCACGGGGCCTGACGTGGGGCTCGAACTCACGAACTGTGAGATCATGACCTGAGCCAAAGTCAGAAGTGCTGACCCACCCAGGGCCCCTTCTATTTTAAGTCACTGAATATTAGGCTAAAGGTCCTTCACGTTTAAACTTTGTTTACTCAGAGTTCAATGTGTTTGATCTTCAGTTACTTGAGGAGGCTTTACCTCCCTGGTAGCTGTATAATCCCTGCCATGGCAGTGTCCTCACCGAAGGGACCAGCGCTTGACATGGTGTTAACCTAGATCTGGCACAGCAACATACGGAAAGGGAAAGACCGCAAAAGACGGACTAGTTATCGCAGCCAAGTGCAAGGCTTTTGCATTATTTATTGTTTTCGCCGTGGTACAAGAGGACTATTAATGATAGGTATTTACTGACCGCTTACTTTGGGGCCCTCCATACCCTGTATCGAAACCATCTCCCCGCTGGCCTTCCTCCTCTCGGGGTGGGGAGTCCAGGGCCCCAAGCACCCGGAACGCTAGCTACTGGAGAATCAGAGACCCGCACCCTGAAGAAGCCGGGGGCAGGGAGGGGAGAGCGGCGGTAACGGACACTTCCGCCCGCACAAGGCCTTCCGGTGCGGAGGTCACCATGGCGGCGTCCTTGGCTCGGCTCGGGCTCCGGTCTGTGAAGCAGGTTCGGGTTCAATTCTGCCCCTTCGAGAAGAATGTGGAGTCGACGAGGTACTAGGAAGTGGGGACGGGAAGGGGCGCGCCTTCCTCCCGCTGGGGGTCTAGGGCGTCTAGCCCTCTCGGCCGGACCCTCAAGCTGTTTTCCCACCGCAGGACCTTCCTCCAGGCGGTCAGCAGCGAGAAGGTCCGTTCCACCAATCTCAACTGCTCGGTGATTGTGGACGTGAGGCACGACGGCTCCGAGCCCTGCGTGGACGTGCTGTTCGGTGGGCTGGGGTGGGGAGGCGGGCGGAAGGGGCGGCAGGCAGCCTGCGCGTCCTCAGTCCGGGGCTCGCCGCCCTCGCCGTGCCTGACTCGTTTGTTTCTTCCCCAGGAGACGGGCATCGCCTGATTATGCGCGGTACCCACCTCACCGCCCAGGAAATGCTCACAGCCTTCGCCTCCCACATCCAGACTAGGGCTGCGGCGGGGAGCGGGGACAAGCCAGGCGCTGGTACCGGGCGCTGACAGTGCAGAAGAGATCAACAAGCAGATTTTAGCTTGGGATTGTTAGGACACTTACCTAAGAGTTTGAGAGACTTCGTCACTCGAATCACCATCTGGAGGGCCATGGAGCGCCAAAAAGAAAAAAAAGAGCGAGCCCTGTGACTACTGATCCAACCAACGTTTCTGAAACGAGACATGATTGGAGAGGGATCTGCACAAACTTGAATTTATTTCGTTTTCTTACCATCACTCCCTGCTTAACCCTTTTGAATATGGCTTTTCCCACCACTCACTCAAGGTACCTCTTGCTCTTATTAGCCAAATCCAGTGCTGTTTTTCTCGGTCCTCATAGTTCCATCTCAGTAACATCTGCCACTTTTAATTCACTCCCTTGTGGAAGTTCTCTTCCTCATGGGGTTTTTTTTTTTTTTCTTTTAACCATAAAATTGTACTCTCATCCTTCATTTTCTTCTGTATGTCTGAGCATTTCATCCTGTCATAACTTGAACTCTGGGGTTAAAGCCTACATTTCTGTTTGGCTCTAATCTCAACGACTGTGCTGTGGTCAGGTTACCTACTACCGATTTCCTCCAAGCCCCACCAAACTCTGTGTCCAAAATAGAATTGATAATCTTACATATACATATACTTGCCTCTCCCCCTGACTTCTCCATTCCTTCATCTGCTTCATCTTCTCAGCCACCTGGGCTGGAAACCGCAGCATTATCTCTGCTTCTGCCCTCTCTCTTTCCCTGCATATCCAGTTAGTAAATTCAAAATATTCTTTTTTAAACAAAAGCTTCTGAAATGTTTTCTCCATTCCCACTCACTTTCCTGTATCATTGTATTCTCCCACCCAATCTCCTTTTTTTCTGACCGTTTTTGCTGCTGCTTACTTTTTTCTTTCAAAGCACATCACTGTTTTTATGTCTCACTACTTGTTTCACACTGTGCCCAATGCGTTTTTCATACTAGGTTACCAACTCATTAGTATGGATCATGAAATCGATTTAGAGGGTTAAATCAGCCTTTCAAAAACAAAGTAAAATAGAATAAAAAGTATCAGAGTGCATGGCATGGAGAATGGGAAGTACTCTTTTAAGAAATTTAAGTTTTCAGCATAATCATGAATATATATATAAAAAATGAAGTATGTTTATGTGTGCGTATCTGCAGGTACTTGGTTGCAGAATAGAATTGTTTCTTATCACGGGTTGTAGGAAAAGATGGTTGATGGCTACTGGTTTAGAGAACTTCAGAATTCTTAGACAATCAAGGATCTCTAGACACTGGCTGCTGTGTACTTTGCCAAATACATTTTCCATGACTTTGCTATAGCATTACTACACTGCTTCTCTGCTTGAAAGGGTGCTATCTTCAAGGGCTGTTTTTTTCCCCTCCCCTTTAAAAAAGAAACTACCAAAAACTAAACCAAAAACCTACCAGGAGGCAGTATGGTGTAGTAAAGAGCCAGAATTCCTAAGGTTGAAATCTTAGCTTTGCCCCTAAGTAGTTCTGTGACTGTGGAAAAATTACTTAGTCTCTCAGTGCCTGTTTCCTCATTAGTAAAATTGGGATAGTAGTACCTATCTTCTAGGACTGTTGAGAGGATTAAATGAGTTGCTGTTGTAAGTGCCTAAAACATTACCCGGAGCATATGTGTTATCTAAGAGGCCTTATGCCTCTTATAGCCAAAAGGATACTGACAGCCTAGATTTGAGTTCCCCAGCTCAGTGGCTAGCTGGCTCTTCTGTCTGGCCAGACTTTACCTCTCTCCTCATCTGTAAAAATGGACATGGTTCAGACATTGTTGTAAACATAGATTGAATGCTGGCACTGTGAACTTGAGGTTGGGGCTGTTTTTTCTGTGTCCCCAGCACTTTGCATAGTGCCTGATACATAGTGTGCAATTAACAGTTGTCGAGTTTACAAATATTTACCATCTACCGTGTGCAATTAGTACTGTAACTGTGATTAGTACTGGGATACAAAGATGAATAATGAAACCCAGGTATGTAATAAGTGCTACAGTAGACATGTGAATTAGATGCAATGGTAGCAAGGAAGAGAAAGACATGAGTGACCATTAGGTTTGGTCAGAAGGTGATTGTTGAAAGAGCAAAAAGTCTACTAGTGGAGGGTAGGGCCAGATACCATATTATAGCAAAATTGAAAGCAGATATATGTAGCATAAAGTACTAGCTTTATATAATGAGTTTGGATGGGAGGTGTGATAGTAGCTAGAGTAGCATAATGATGTCGAGTAGGGTGTTTTAAAGGATGATAGGGACTTGTACTTTATGAAAATACCTTTTAAAAAGTTTTTTTAGTGTTTGAAAGAGAGACAGAGACATAGAATCGGAAGCAGGCCCCAAGCTCTGAGCTGTCAGCACAGAGCATGATGCAGGGCTCAAACCCAGGAACCCTGAGATCATGACCTGAGCAGATGTCAGGAGCTTAACTGACTGAGCTACCCAGGTGCCCCTATGAAAACACCTTTTATGCTAAGGTGCAAATGTTGCCTCCTTCCTACAGCCTTTCCTGACCTGAATATAAGCTATCCTTCTAAGCTGCTTCACTTCCTGGTTTGTAGAAAAGTGGGGGAAATGCATTCTCGAAGTGCATGCACCACCATTCTGGTCCTATTACGGTTCATCTAGATAAGGAATCCTGGACTGAGTGGATATCTGATTTGTCTAAAGTTACAGGTCGCTTGAAGACTGCTGGAACAGGGCCCCTGGATGCCTCAGTTGAATAAGTGTCCCACTCCGGCTCTGGTCATGATCTCACAGTTCTGGAGTTCAAGCCCCACATCCAGCTCTGTGCTGACAGCTCAGAGCCTGGCACCTGCTTCTGATTCTGTGTCTCCCTCTCTCTCTGCCCCTTTGTCTCTCATGCTCTCTCTCTCTCTCTCTCAAAAGTAAACATTAAAAAAAAAAAAAAAAAAGATTTCACGCTTCCTTTTGGGTCCACTCCAGCACACTCCACTTAAGTTGGAAAGAAGGCATGAACGTGGGCAAAACGATCCAGTCTGTTTTAGACACACTTCGGCTCTACGCTAGCCACTTCCTGGCTCTGGGGCCGGGGCCAAGTTACTTGAATTTTCTAGGCCACAGTTTTCAGCCACCTGCCTGGGGCGGGTTAGAGGGCGGTTAAATGTCAACCACTCGGGATGGCGTCTCAGGTTGTTAATATATAGTCATTTGAAAAACAAAACAAAAAAAGCCAACGTGAGATTACTTGTATCTACTAGCCTGTGAAATCCGCAAGGACGCCAAAGAAACGTTAACCCAGGGTACAGCTAGCCCTAAACCACGCGGGTGACGGCGGTTCCGGACTTTGAGACTTAATCTGACGTGGCGGGGCGGGACTTCCGGCGGGAGACGGAAACGGAGCGAGAGGCGCGGACTGGCAGGCGCGGGTGACAGGTCTGTGGTCTCCGGGCGCAGCGCGGAAGCCGGGGAAGCAAGGCAGGACCTGGGCTCCATTGCCGCCTCTCCGAGCACTGCGACGCCGACGTCCGTGCCAGGATGGCTCGGGGCGAGCGGCGGCGCCGTGGAACCCCGGCAGAAGGAGCGCGGATAGCTGAAAGGGTGGTTCGGGGCGGCCCCGCACGACGGGGCGGCGCGGCCCGTGGCGCTGTCGGGAGAGCGGCTCTGGGCGTTGTGGTCCTGTCTCTGGCCCTGGGCCTGTCAGGATTCTGGCTGCTGGCGTGGCACCGTGTGCGGCGGGCGGTCACACTGCACTCCGCACCCTCGGCACTGCCTCCCGACTCTTCCAGCCCCGCCGTGGCCCCGGACCTCTTCTGGGGCACCTACCGCCCTCACGTCTACTTCGGCATGAAGACTCGCAGTCCGAAGCCGCTCCTCACCGGTAACTGGGCCTCGGGGCGGGAGGGCAGGCAGGCGGACTCTTAATCTGGGCGCCCCAGCTTCACGCCAGAACAACAGTGGGGAGGGATGGTTCAGAAGAGTTATGAGGATGAATGATCGTGAAGTTCTCGGAGACCCAGAGGGACAGGTCCCCTGCTCTCTCTTTGACTTACGTGGCCATTCTACCCCCAGGACTGATGTGGGCGCAGCAAGGCGCCACCGCAGGGACCCCTAAGCTCAGGCACACGTGTGAGCAGGGGGACGGCGTGGGTCCCTATGGCTGGGAGTTCCACGACGGTCTCTCCTTCGGGCGGCAACACATCCAGGATGGGGCCCTAAGACTCACGACTGAGTTCGTCAAGAGGCCTGGGGGTCAGCACGGAGGGGACTGGAGCTGGAGAGTGACTGTAGAGCCTCAGGTCAGGGCCTCAGGACACCCTTCCCCCAGCCCAGACTCCCTCCACCCTTTCTTTGCTGCCAGCAAACTCAGTATGTTGTGAAGGTTAACAGCAGGGGCTCTGAATCTGGCTGCCTGCCTTAAACACTTGCCTGTATAGACCATCTCTATTTACTATCCATAATCTGTGGTTTCTGTGTCTGCAAAATGGAGATACAAATAACACTTTACTCATAGGATTGTAGGAATAAAAGAAAATGATGTGTAGAGTTCTTAGCATAGTATGCAACACAAAAACACTGTTTCCCAGAGAACCCTGTGCAAATCTCCATACCTCATCTCACTAGGTACTTACGCTCATTGACCCTCAACGCTGCAGATATATGTTTACCATGTTGCTCCTGCATGGCGTCCCTTTGAGTAAGGCTGGATTTTCAGGAGAGACTACTAATCTAATGCTATGTTTTTCTGTCCTCCTTGGTCACACAGGCCTCGGATACCTCTGCCCTGCCTTTGGTGTCCCTGTTCTTCTATGTGGTGACAGATGGCAAGGAAGTCCTAGTACCAGAGGTTGGGGCCAATGGGCAGTTGAAGTTCATCAGTGGACACTCCAGTGAACTTGGTGACTTCCGCTTTACACTTATGCCACCAACCCATCCAGGGGATACTGCCCCCAAGTATAGCAGGTAACGGGGAAGAGAGTGTGGGGTGATGGTAGGGATGGTATGGATGCTGACTTAGCCTGATATCTATCTCCCCCACTCTACCTTCTTTCCACCAGTTAGTTCCCTTCTCACCAGGCCCCAAGTCCCCTGCATTGCCAAGACCCTCCCATCTTGACTCTCCTGATCACCTCTTATTTCTCTTTATAATCCCCACCATTTTCTCCTGAGTAATATTTCCAATTTATCTTCTTCCCTTCAAGCTACAATGTCTTCTGGTCCTCCAACCCAGGACTTCCCTTGCTCACAGAGATGGTGAAGAGTCGCCTAAGAAGCTGGTTTCAGCATCGGCCCCCAGGGGCTTCCCCTGAACGCTACCTCGGCTTGCCAGGATCTCTGAAGTGGGAGGACAGAGGCCCAAGTGGGCAAGGACAGGGACAAGGGCAATTCTTGATACAACAGGTGACACTGAAAGTCCCCTTTTCTGTGGAGTTGGTGTTTGAATCGGGCAGTGCCCGGGCAGGAGAAAGACAAGCCCTGGCACAGTTGGCAGGCAGCCTGCTCACCCAGGCCCTGGAGAGCCATGCTGAAGCCTTTAGAGAGCGCTTTGAGAAGACCTTTCAGCTGAAGAAGAAGGGGCTGAGCTCTGAGGAGCAGGTTTTGGGTCAGGCTGCCCTCAGTGGCCTCCTTGGTGGAATTGGCTACTTCTATGGACAGGGTCTGGTGTTGGCAGACATGGGGGTTGAGGGGTCTGAGCAGAAGGTGGACCCAGCTCTCTTTCCACCTGTCCCTCTTTTCACAGCAGTGCCCTCCCGATCATTCTTCCCACGAGGCTTCCTCTGGGATGAGGGCTTTCACCAGCTCGTGGTACAGCGGTGGGATCCCCGCCTTACCCGGGAAGCCCTAGGCCACTGGTTGGGGCTGCTCAATGCTGATGGCTGGATTGGACGAGAGCAGGTACTAGGAGATGAGGCCCGAGCCCGGGTGCCCCCAGAATTCCTGGTCCAACGGGCAGCCCATGCCAACCCCCCAACCCTGCTTTTGCCTGTAGCCCACATGCTAGAGGGTGGTGACCCTGCTGACTTTGCCTTCCTCCGCAGGGCCTTCCCCCGTCTGCATGCCTGGTTCTCCTGGATCTACAAGAGCCAGGCAGGGCCAGTGCCACTATCTTACCGCTGGCGGGGCCGGGACCCCGCTTTGCCAACCCTGTTGAACCCTAAGACACTGCCTTCAGGGCTGGATGACTATCCCCGAGCTTCACACCCCTCAGCCAGTGAGCGGCACCTTGACCTGCGGTGCTGGGTGGCACTGGGTGCCCGTGTGCTGGTGCGGCTGGCAGAACAGCTGGGAGAGGCTGAGGCAGCTGCAGAGCTGGGCCCACTGGCTGCCTCGCTGGAGGCAGAG